ATGAATACTTTGAAAGTTTAAGATTGAGAAGTCAAATCAACCAATCTGACTGTTTTAAGTGTCACAATAATAAATTTCCTGCATCAATACTCTAGAGCTATGTTCTAGATGAATAACAGTAAAAACTTAAAGTCGATAAAAAATTATTTTTAGAATAAAAATAGTTCAACTAAAATAAGTTTTGTCAAAATTCGACATAAAAATGCACATTGATCATCTCACAAATTAATGTGAGGATATCTAGAGGACTGCGTTTGCAGAAAGTGATATAGGAAAATACCTGGCCTTCCTTGAAATGCACACCTGCCATATAGCCTAAGGGCACCCGTAGCAGTGTGGTATAGTGGAAACTTGTCTAGATTATATACTGCACAATTAAAGTTCGAGTCCCGCTGGGGATGTTGATAAAATTTAGGAAAATTCAACTGCCAGTCCTTCATCCCCCTAACAAAGTGGGGTGAAAACATCCCATACATATGACTTTCAGATAGGCTCGAAATCTTACTTAAAAATAAGATGTACGTCAGCATAAACATATCAAAACTTAAAGTAGTAAAACAAGGGATAATCTGTTGTTGTCTTCTAGCGAGCTCGAACTAAGAATCCCATTAAATATCCGCGTTTAATGAAAGTCCGATTGAAAATTTTGTGGAGTTTATCGATATTTGCTTAAATTGGATGGCAATAAATGTAAACGTTTTTAAAAGTAATCACTTCAAATAAAACAATGGCGTATTTTTAAGTCATAAAAATCATATAAAGCCTGAGATTAGTAAATAGTAAATTGCGTATAGGCAATAAAAAAGAGAATTGCTTTATCAAATTAAAATTATATTCAAGCAACATAAAATGAACAAGAATTTAGTCAGAGCTAAAAAAAAGTATTTTTTTAATGTAGAGAATAATTTGAAAAACTATGGCCAGTCTTTTATTTAAAAAATTGATGTTTCCAAGAAAATCGTGCTAGCCTTCTATTAAAGCATATTTTAGTGATAATTTTAATAATAAACGAACATAATATAGCACCATATGCAGATAAAACATTCTTAGCCAAACTAATGTAGATAACAATAAAGATAGACGGAATGACATCATTAATGAACAGAAAAGTTTAGTGCAGACCAAAACCTGAGCAAAAAAGAAAATCTTAGAGGATTTTCATTGTTCTAACGAAAGATAAGGGAGAGCAAACATGTTACTTTTGTCAGAATGTAGATTAGTTTTAAATCAAGGCAATTAAATGAAAATAAATCGATTCGCTGACTATATAATACGAATAGTTTGACGTTTTCTCAGCTTGGTAGTGTTATGAGGGGTAACTAGATAAACCCACCCTCTCCTTAGTCTTCTGCCATACAGACATGATGATTTTCAGCATCAGATCGTAGACGCTCTTCTCGTTTAAGGGCTGCGATTACCTAATCACCTAAAATGTTTGTGTAAACGAATTGTACGTCCATGCTTGCTGTTGACTATAAGCCTTCACGCTTCCCGTAGATGCTAACATTTTTAGCACATCCTTTGGTATTCCTTTGATCTTTATAGTTCGGTCCTTTCTCAGTGTTTCTATCACCATTTTTACCATGCGTTGTTTCCTCTTCATTATCACCATCTGCCTCCCTAACCCACCGGAAGGCTTAGTTGGTGGCCTCTTTGCAATGTACTGCTTATCCTCATTAATCCGCTCCTGTTTATGGCTTCTCAATGTGATAAGATTCAAAATATTGTTTCCGTATTCGCGGCATCTTTGACCGATTTTGGGAATTTATCGGAGACATTTGAAAACTGAAAAAGAACGAATTCCAAGACGTCTGGAGATGAACCAAGTCAATTTTCAGACGCTGCAAATTATCATGAATACTATTTCAAAGGAATTAAGACAAAACGCTTTAATTTAGGCTCCCCTGAGTACACAACCAGGTTACGAAGACGAAGTCAAACGAATTCGATAGTGGGACAGGAAACTGCGACCAAAATCGATACCATAGTGTCTTTATTTTCACATCTTAGTATAATTAGAAGGTTGCAAAGGTGAGATTCCAGATGCAGTGAATAAAATTGGCTTAAGCTAACCAAAGTAATAGATGCGATGCTCAGATCTTTTAGTCTGGTATATCCATTACTGCCTCAATTAATCACACCTTAAATAAAATATGATCGCTATACTTATTATATTTTACCTTTTTGCTAAATTATTGTCTGAACATATAGTTATAAACTTGGCTGATTATCTCACATAAATGAATTTTTCATATTTGAAGGTATGAAGACGAAGATGGTGTGGCCTTTTGTGTGGTCGCAATCTCCTTTAGTTGTATAGAAGTTGTTTGGCCTTGTTTTTGCAACTTGGTCATATTGGTAGAATGACTTAGAACGCACCTAGTCCGGAGTCCATTATATAAATGATCATTTCTAGAGCAGGACCTTGGACGTGGTACATTCCCAGACGTTTCTCCGGCATCGTCAGTGAGTCTCGCCATTCGTAGCACCCTATTACAACTCGTCAAAGAGACAAGTAAAGCCCATCATTTGACTAAACGTGTGCTAAACAATTGTGGGCAGAAGGGGAGATACCACAACTGTTTAGCACACGTTTGGTCAAAGGATGGGTTTCACTTGTCTCTTTGACGAGTTGTTGTATGGTGCTACAAATGGCGAGACTCGCTGACGATGCCGGCAAAACGTCGGGGAATGTACCACGTCCATGGTCCTGCTCTGGAAATGATGATGCATACAATGGACTCCAGACTAGGTGTATTCCTTCAAGTCTTCCTACCAATATGACCAAGTTGCGAAAACAAGGTCAAACAACTTCTATTTTTCATATTGTCTACCTGTAATAATTGAGCATCATGTTCAATGGATCAAGGCTAATATCGTACGTCTCCACCGACTTCTTCTGCCACCAAGCAAGTGCTATGGCATATAAGAGTCCGTGGTCATAAAGAGGATATAGTCGGAAAAGTCCAATTGACATCACGAAATGGATTAGTGTCGAACACGCAAAAAGTAATTTAACAAATAAATAATATCTGTGAGCTAGACATCTAGAGAAAGTGACGAAGGAACCAAAATGCTTCCATTTTGTAGTTAATACCGTTGCCTGTGTTGAGACACTTTAATTTTTAAAGAAATGGGCAAGAAAGCATTTCATAAATTATGCAATAATAAGAGGGGAAGAAATTTGCCTATATATATACATATACATATAGATATAGCAAAGTTAAAATTTTCTTATATTGCAAGATTGATAAAAAATGTTGGCTTTTAGCAATTTAGATCTTTAGACCCAATAATCCGCATACATTATAGGCCATTTGAAGGAGCAGTCAGCTTAAGCTTTATGCATAACTATTGCTAAGCAAGTAGCCTAGTTAAGAGACAATCAAAATAAGTCGTAAGTAAGAAATGTTTAAATAAACACGAATCAGTCTTCGCCACGTGCCTGCCAGGGTTTTATAGAGTCACTTAGTGCGTCTAAACAGGCCATGCTTGGGTCTAGATGGATGTGGCCTAGGCTGCGAGGCGAGTTGTGCTGGAGCCGGAGATCAAGCGTCACCTGTTGAACAAGAGCATCATCTAAATCTTCCGATCCTCCGACTGGAGACAAAGCATCTCCATTGAATATATTAGACAAATAGGAAGGACAGCGTGTTGAATTGTGTCTGATATGTTCGAACCCAGGATTTCTACTATAATTTCGGCCTAAGATGTTATCAGATAAATGAGCTGGGCGGAGAGGTTTATTCATTTTATGATACTCATTGCGCAGAGATAAGTTCAAAAGCTCAGGTGAAACTTGGAAGGTGATTTGCTGCGCATAGGCAAGATAAGAATTAAAGGAGCCAGTAGCTTGTCTGATTTGCAGACAACTGGCCAACCTTGCAGAAGATGTGTAAGGAGAAGGTGAAGAGGAGAGCGAAGAAGGCCAGATGTAGACTGAATTTGTTTGAGTGGAAGCGTGGGGCATTGGCGACCTGATAAGTCGAAGATGTGCTAGTTCAAGGTCGGCCATGAAGCTGCTTTTGACGAGTACCTGTCGTGCAGACACCTTGCCCTGAAATAGCAATACGCAAAACAAAAAAGAGAAAAAGAAGAGGAAAAAATATAAAAATAAAAATTTGCGGAGATTAATAGATGCAGTCGATGCAATATGAAGATTGAGTTCGAGAATGTAATATAAATGAAACCTTACCATATGTTCAAACTAGCTAAACTAATCTAAGAATAGAAGATCTGAAGACCAAGATGGTGTGGCCACCGGTATGGTCGCAGTCTACTTTCGATTTAATGAAGTTGATTGACCGAGTTTTGGCAAACTTGGTCTTGCTGTCAAGAAGACTTAGTAGAACGTACGTTGTTCAAAGTTCATTGTCCGTAGTTATCATAATTCCCAGCATCAGACAGTGGACTTGGTACATTCTCAGACATTTCGCCGGCATCATCTGTGAGTCTTGCCATTCTTGTTCCCGACAAGTTTTTAGCTTGGTGCAGAAAATGGCAAGACCCATTTATATTGTCGACTAGGATGCCGGCGAAACGTCTAAGAATGTACCAAGTCCACGGTCTGATGCTGGGAATTATGACAACAACTATGACAGAGGACGTTGGACAAGGTGCGTTCTATTAATTCACCCTGACAACAAAAACAGGTTGCGAAAACGAGGTCAACTCACTTCTAATTTAAGAATAACTATAAATAGCTGAAATACTTCAAAAG